GATTTCGCTGTGAAATATATGTATAGGTAGGGATTTCACAATTATTCAATATATGAATGGGGGGTGTTTTTTAAATCCCAGCTGCACAACTGTACCCAAAATCCCATGTTGAGACCCCCCGTGATTTTGTGGTCACTTGGCTCATAACATTAGCATTGTATGATTGGGTAGCATTTGTTTATAAGAAAATAACTCAGTTTGTCTCTCGACTTGTCCAGCACATACGCACGACACTCAGACATTCTTTTATTTAATTTTCTACAATTTCCCTTTTTCCTCGGCGTTTTCCGTCTTATTTGATGTCTCTTGTATGGTGCAACAATTGGTGCACGGTTTTCATAAATTTTATCAGCTATAAGATTACATAATTTGAAGGGAAATTTAACTCCAAATTAGTCCCAATACTAGACAAAAAATTAAATTGTTGAGCATCGTTTTGATGTCCAAGAAAACCAATTTTAAAAAGGCGTATATGATTTTCATAGTCAACTACAATTTGTGTGTGTATACAATGTTCATTACGATGTCCAGAGTAATATTCCTCCTGTGGTTCAACTTGAGGCCTTTATATGACATTGGATGAACCATCAATGGCTGCCAAAGCAGTTGGAATTTGCGACCAGTTCCTATGTTACTGAAGCCATTATTGACGACTAGGCCAGACTATATTTGGTGAATATGTTTCCCATAAAATTGGTTTCAGGGCTTTTAATGTGAGTACATTTAGTATGAGATGAAACGTCAAAAAGTAAACTAAGAAGACTAAGTATGTACCAAGCTTGGTCAAAATCCTGGAACGATGTCGAGTAAAGAGTGTTGACAAGGGTGTTACGGATGGAATGACGGACGGAAAGACGGACAGACGGTATCGTTACAAAATCCCCTCCAACATCGTTGGCGAGAGGATAAACAATTTGAATCGGAAATGCAGACAAATGTTATGTTGCACGATGGCAATTGCGGCACGTAGGTTCGAATGCATTCCCTTAATGAAAGCCTGTTATATGGTATGAGATTGTAACTTCGGGAAACAATGTCAGCTGAAGCTCATTTTGTTTTTATCTTTTCTTTCAATGTCTTGCAAATTTTTTTATTTCTAAAATAAGAATCATTAAAAAGTAAACAGTTACCAGCTTATCAAAGACACTTGATGTTATATAGAAAAAAAATCGTGGACCCCTTTTCTAGTCCTATAACAGGTAGATTTTTTTGTTTTGGGGGGTGGCTATATTTTGTGTTTCTATTTGTTTTCTGACATCTTCTGTTTACTAACTTCTGTTTACTTATTTTAATTTTTTATTTGCTGTTTTTACAACCAGTGTGCGCTTTTAAAACTTACGACAATCACTGAATAATGGCTCTTGGAGTGTGACAGGTTCATACAGAATATTGCAGGGTTAAACATTTTTGTGAGCGCACAACCCCCCTCTTAACCTTTGACAGTGGTGTAAGTTGTAACAGCACAACATAAGTAGAGACTGTAAAACATCAGTTGGCAATGGCTTGACTCATCATATTGGCAGGAAGCAGAAAAACCAACTAACATAAAGACAAAAGACACAAAGAACCAATATTAGAGTACTTGCAGTTACTGAAACCTAGCTCAAAGTCAATAACAACGGCTTACGTATGTATAAATGGACCTTGAATGATTTATTAGTTGTGAATGACTTTGAGCTAGCTGCGAGTAAATGCGAGTTTTATTATCTAATAAAAAAGTATGATTCAACTGTCATAGTTATTCAGTTCATGATTAGCAATCCGCGATAAAGGATTATCAATCCGAGATCACAGATTAGCAACCTGTGATCACGGATTAGCAATCCGAGAACACATATTAACAATCTGAGATCACGGGCTGTTAATCCGAGATCACGGATTAATTATTTTTTTATGTGTCCCTTTATGGCTTCCGTAGTTATACTATTACATCTTTTTACCATTTGTTTACAAAACATTAAAACAAGATAAATTATTCACAAGATTATATAATTGTTTAAGATTAATGTCAGCGGTTTCAAACACGCACATACAGGTAACAAAAATGATGGAGTATTTACTTTTTGAGATGGTCCCCACATCATATTGTATTCATCTTCCATCCAACACGAGCGCCAGCAGTAGTGTCGACTTTTCTAACACGTCTAATATACATGAAGTGTTATATTATTGTGAATACTTTTAAGATTTGGTAAATTGAGTACCCGCTTAACGAATTACCCGTGCAAATACGTTTGTAAACTACTATATAAGGAAAGAAATAATAAATGTATTTATTGTACATAATCATGAGTAAGTCAAAATTTTACGTCGTAGGATATTCAAATTTTAATTGGCGAAGTGGATAAGACTATATTTTTACTATTGAGCAGACGGAGCAACACAACAATTAACAGTTCTAAACACTGCTAAAATGAAAGCAATTGGTCTTACAAAAGAATCTTATAGAAAAATCAATACATCAAAATTCATACCACCGGTTTTACAAAATTTTGCTTTAATAACACCAAGGGCTGTATTAGCTGATTTATACAATTCTTTGGCAGTTATTGAATAATCCGAAAATCCATTCAAAAGTATACCAAGCTGTTTATAATAAGATGCAAAATCAAGATATAATTCACCACATCTAAAATAAAAACTACTTCTTTGCATAGATTTAGTTCTAAAATGTACGTTTTCAGCTCGTCGTCAACAACAGTCATATTCTTTTTACCGGATGATGTCGTAACTTTTATGATAATCATAAGTCATGTCGCTTGGTGTCTTAAGTTTACGATAAAAGTTATGATATATCGTAACTAAGCTCTAGTAACCAAGGACACTTTCGAAAACATCTTTTATGACTATGACATGTCCTAAAACCATCGTAAGACATGTCTTAGTCATAAGATACTTTCGAAAACCAGGCCCCTGGCCTGATTTATAAAACTCACATTACCTGAAGATCTGTGAAAGCAGTGAAAGCGCGCTAGTAAATGTGATGAATTGAAACCGTTATTATCTTTTATTATTTTTCTTAAATTATATTATATATAAATATAATATATGTATATAACTATTAGTATTATATTCATTGGTTATTTGGAATGCATTTTATCTTAATATATATTCTTTATTTGTTTTTATTTCTCCATTTTCCTTTACACCAACACTTAGGATATCGGTTAGGACATCCTTGGTAATAAAATCCTTAGAGAGCTTCGATGTCCTACAAAAGTCTTTAAATTCATTCTAAACCTAATCCCCAGGGCCCATCTCAACGAAGCTGTCTTGTGACTAGGACATGACTTATGAGAGTTTCAGGACATTCTTAGTCTTAAAAAATGGTAAAAATAAAAAAAAAAATCAGTATTAATATAATGATTATACACGTATATAAAAAAACATATGTAATAATCGTACAACACAAAACAAAAACATATAACTACGGTTTTTTTTATATAAAAAATGACCAATTTGAGTGTAAAAATTTACAAAAGGGCCTCGGTGGCCGAGTGGTCTAAGTAGTCAAACTACTGTATCACTAGCCTGTCAACACTGATGTTGTGAGTTCGAATCCCGCACGTAGCAGGTGCGCTCGACTCCAATCTCAATACTTGACTAGGATTGTCAGTTTTCCTACCGAAGGTCGGTGGTTCTCTCCGATGGTGCCATGAAATAGCACAAAAGTGCTTAAAGTGGCGTAAAACACAATCAGTCAATCAATCAATTACACGGGTAAAACAAAGAACTATTATTGAATGAGCTCACAGTTTCATACATAACAGAGGTCGAAGGCACATCTCATGCATCTTTTCATATATATATAAATACAGAGTGATTTAGCTGTATTTCAGTATTGCCAAAATATATATACGAGTGAATATTAACAAATTGAGGAATCCTAACTTTACAGATGCAAACATAAGGCTCTCCTGAAAGCATAAATCTTTACTGTTCAGTAAAATTTCAAATGCAATAAGAGGGTTTGAGATATAAATTAGTATCATAAAATATAACATAAATTATAGGATTGTCTTAAGACACATAAATAGATGTCTTTCACTTTTGACAATTCCTTGGAAAAATCCTAAAATTGCGAACAAGCTCTAGAGTTATTAACAAATCTTGATTAAAACCGTATATTGTACGAATAAATAAATAAAAAAACTTTAAGGAAGATGTTTTCACTGACAAAAATCCTTCAGTGACTTTCGTTTTTTTTCATTCAAGAAATTTAAAATCAAACAATTTATTAAAAAAAAAAACCTAAGCTCCCCCCAAAAGATAAATGGTGGGTACTTTCATTTATTTATCAACCAACTCAACAATAGTTAAATAGAAAATATAAACAATTTAATAACTGTCAACACGTATCAAAACGCTTCGTATACATGCATTAATTTTTCTGTACAGTTTGATTACAAAATATCTTCATATATACTACTCAAAGAAAGTTTTGCAACACTTCCATTGCGGATATTAACAAGGTCATACTTTGAGGGCTCGTATATTGTTGTAGAAGATGACTCATCTGAAATTAACAGCATCCCTGTTTCAAAGGATGTTGAGTTGATTAAAGAAGAAGACTAAAAAATTGATAAAATTGTGACTTTCAATTTTGACCCCTTCCCTCAAATTTTGCGCACAGTGTAGCTGTCTGAAATTGGACCCACATTACTATAGTAATACACAAATATAGAAGATTTAGAAAATACATACTTGAAAGATACATTTAGATTTCGTCTTACTTTATTTTCAGTCAGATGTTGTGTTGCTTAACTTTTGTGAATAATTCATCAGCGATGTTTCTTAGCTTATTTTGACAAATTTGAACCAAATAGGCTGCTAGAAGCGAATTATTATTTCACTATATCACATTCATTAATGATTGAACAAAAAAAACATTTCAATTTGTATTATATATCGTAGCTAATGACCCATAAATATGTTATACTGAAAATGAAATAAATGGAAAATAATCGAAACAAACTTATGCAATTTTATCTTTTTTACAGGTTCACGAGAAGACGAATGTGCCACAGACCTGAGCAAGAAGGGGGATAGATGCGAGGATGATGAGCTTGATAATAATAATTCATCGACGGAAGAAACGGACCATATTCATGATTTTAACGAAATTGAAATGGATGAAACTGGGGACGAAAAGAGGTGTCAATCAGTGGATTCATTTAAATCTGGTAAACCAAGGCGAGCAAGAACTGCATTTACATACGAACAGCTTGTTGCACTAGAAAATAAATTTAAAACTACGAGATACTTGTCCGTTTGTGAAAGACTTAATTTAGCATTGTCGCTAAATCTGACAGAAACACAAGTAAAAATTTGGTTTCAAAATAGACGAACAAAATGGAAGAAACAAAATCCAGGAATGGACGTGAACAGTCCTACAGTCCCACCTTCAGCTGGAAGTTTGTCAGGCTTTTCCTCACCATATGCTTCAAATATGCTTTACGGACAGGGCTTACACCCATATCTCCCTAATCCCAATATTGTTAGTGCTCTCGGACTTCTACGCCATTCGGCATATTCCGGACAGAATCACCCTATATATTATCCATATTTCAGTCAAAGTACATGACATTTGATGTTAAACTTTGTGTAATGTTATTTATTTTTATCAAACATATGTTACTGGAATAAAATCTTTTATTTACTTCAAATATTTTATGTTGATGTATGTCTGTATGTATATGTCTGTCTGTCTGTGTGTGTGTCTATATGTCTGTATGTATGTATGTATGTATGTATGTATGTATGTATGTATGTATGTGTTAATTTACGTTTTTTGATTGAGTTAAGCCTTCCAATTGATATTTTATAGTGTGTTTTTCTATGTTGTGATTTTATACTATTGTTTCAGAAAAGGGAGAAGGTTTGGTACCATTAAAACGTTTAATCCCGCTGCAAATGTTTGCACCTGTCCTAAGTCAGGAATCTGATTACAGTAGTTGTCGTCTGTTTATGTAGTTCATACGTGTTTCTCGTTTCTCGTTTTTATATAGATTAGACCGTTGGTTTTTCCGTTTGAATGGTTTTACACTAGTAATTTTTTGGGGCCCTTTATAGCTTGCTGTTCGGTGTGAGCCAATGCTCTGTGTTGAAGGCCGTACCTTGACCTATAATGGTTTACTTTTATAAATTGTAACTTGGATGGAGAGTTGTCTCATTGGCACTCATACCACATCTTCCTTTATCTAAGTATGTATGTATGTGTTTGTTTGTTTGTTTGTTTGTTTTCAATTCGGGCAAAAACAATTACAAGATCAACGCAATAAATATATACTGGGGCTTAGTAAACAATCTGTCAATATAGTTGCTAGAGCAGAACTAGCCCCGTATCCCATGCTTTCTGTTTATCTAAATGGCTCAGCACAAACGGTACATTTTCGTTGAAAATATATTTAACACAAATAATATAGACATAAATAAAATACAGGAAATAAACTCAGAGAAGAACTCATTTTCAAAATATATTAAACAAGAAACGGATGTCCCACTCGCACTATCATTTTCTATGTTCAGTGGACCGTGAAATTGGGGTCAAAACTCTAATTTGGCATTAAAATAAGAAAGCTCATATCATAGAAAACATGTGTACTAAGTTTCAAGTTGATTGGACTCCAACTTCATCAAAAACTACCTTGACTAAAAAGTTTAACCCAAAAACTTTAACCTGAAGCGGGACAGACGGACGGACGAACGGACGGACGAACGAACGAACGGACGCACAGACCGAAAAACATAATGCCTCTATCGTAGGTGGGGCATAAAAAGAACTAAAAGAAAGCTTTGAACATATATTCTTTGAAGAATTAAAATCAACTCATGAAAAAAAAGTGTTCTTGTACAGTAAAATTAAGACAAGATATGAATTATACAAATATATTTTTGAAAATAATTTTGAAAATCGGAAAATATTATATAAAATGCGAGTAAGTGACCATTTCTTGGAAATAGAGAGGGGGTAGATATAAAAGAATTCAAATAAAAAAATAGAATTTGTAATATAAATGAGGTTGAAGATGAAACCTATTTTTTCTTAACATGTGAAATTAATAAATCATTACGAAAAATGCAGCTTGAAAAAGACAAATAATATTTATCCAGGATTTATGGAATCATACAAAAATAATAGATTGCAATTACTTCTATCATCATTTAATATTATGCAGCTTACTGTTCCGTTCATTAAAAAAGTGTTTTGTATTGAGGAGAGTGGACACCACATCTGCATAATCATTACTAGTTTATTTCACTGTTGGTATATATAAAAATAAGGAGATGTGGTATGATTGCCAATGAGACAACTATCCACCAAAGTGAAAATGAAGTGGATGTAAGCAATTATAGGCAACCGTACGGCCTTCAACAATGAGAAAAACCAATACCGTAACATATGATGTTTTAATATTTTATAATGTTTGAATTGTGTATATTTTTGTATTGTTTACATTAAACCCCTCGCGTCCTGACCCAAAATAAAAGTCTTTACGTTATTTCAAAATATTTGAATTACGAGACACTTAAGCCGCTTAAAGTTTAAAATTTTAGACATTTATAATGCAGTTCAATATGACAGTCACGATAAACAGAAATTATTATGCAGATTTTTTTTGCAATTATAGCTGTCAATTTCAGACAAGACTGAATAAAACTAATACTTGATTATAGTAAAATGAACGAAATTTTAGTTCTGATCATCCGCATAATTTTGTATTCACGTTCGCCTTGGAAGCAGTATTCAAAAACGGTTCCCAAAAACCTAACCGATCGACCTAATGTGCAGAATGGATGATAATTCACTCAATAAAACACACACACACATATTTATCTGCTATCGCGACGATCGGTTCTTGACAAGTACGTGTCAGACTTTAATTGACCGGCATATACTGCAGTCTAAAAATATTTTTTTGCAAAGCCAATAACTTAATATAATCTTTATTTCCGGTCGTAGACTTTTCTACGTTACAGTTTTTTTTTTTATTTATAAAATGGAAAGACTAATAATTACTTTTTTACTTAACGTTTCTCCCGTTTGGACGAGTTCGTTATATCCAAAAAGTTTACAAGTATTAGCTTTATAAAAAGCTTTGGATTGCTTCGCTGTATCATAATTTTAAGTAAGATGTGATTTTTGTGGTTGTTTAAGTACGAGAAAGGTGTTATTTATCCCCTTTGTGCATATACTCATAGGAGTGGTCCTATAAGCCCGTCTTACATGTAGATGGGTGTATTGTGTGGTATACTGTAATTTGTCCATGAGTACTTCCTACAAAAACTTAAATTTACTTTTACCAATTCCTACGAAACTAAAACGGAACATTTAGATTGATAGACGAAAACTTCCTTTTGATTTGAATATTCGTTTGTGTCGTCATTCCAGAGATACTGTTTGATTTTGAAAATGTATGATGTGTCATTCCACATGCAGTTATGAGACTTATGGCAATATTCTACATGGCATACTCTATAACTAGAATGTTTTGATTAACTACAAACTTAACACTGTTGTTGGTATTGGCGAATTTGGATTCGCCTTGGATTTAAAAAATTTATAGTTTTTCGATCCATAAAGTTATGGGATTTTAAACGCAATGTCTATTTGCATATGGATATCCTCATGCATGTTTTCGTACACATGCAAACATATTTCAGATCTTCTCACAATAATTCTAATGCACAATTCGATGACATTATATGGTCTTGACGTTGCTGGTTTTTATACGACCGCAAAAATTTTGCGGTCGTATATTGGTATGACGTCGTCGTCGTCGTCGTCGTCCGAAGACACATTAGTTTTCGCACTATAACTTTAGTTTAAGTGAATGGATCTCTATGAAATTTTACCATAAGGTTCAATACCACAAAAGGAAGGTTGGGATTGATTTTGGGGGTTATGGTACCAACAGTTAAGGAATTAGGGGCTAAAAAGGGGCCAACAAATTTTGTAACTTCCAGACAATAACTTGTGTGTAAGTGTATGGATCTCTCTGACATTGTACCACAAGGTTCCATATCACAAAGGGAAGGCTGGAATTGATTTTGGGGGTAATTGCCTCAAAATTTTAGGAATTAGGGGCCAAAAAAGGGGCAAAAAACAAGCATTTTTCTAGTTTCATGACAATAACTTGTGTGTAAGTTTTTGGATATTTCTGAAATTGTACTACAAGGTTCCATATCACAAAGGGAAAGCTGGAATTGAGTTTGGGGGTAATTGCCCGAAAAATTTAGGAATTGGGGGCCAAAAAGGGGCAAAAAATATGCATTTTTCTAGTTTCCAGACAATAACTTGTGTTCAAGTGTATGGATCTCTCTGAAATTGTACTGCAAGGTACCATACCACAAAGGGAAGGCTGGGATTGATGATGGGGTAATTGCCTCAAAATTTTAGGAATAAGGGGCCAAAAAGGGGCAAAAAACAAGCATTTTTCTAGTTTCAGGACAATAACTTGTGTGTAAGTGTATGGATCTTTCTGAAATTGTACTACAAGGTTCCATATCTCAAAGGGAAAGCTGGGTTTGAGTTTGGGGGTAATTGCCCTAAACGTTTAGGAATTTGGGGCAAAAAAACACATTTTTCTAGTTTCCAGACAATAACTTGTGTTCAAGTGTATGGATCTCTCTGAAATTGTACTGCAAGGTACCATACCACAAAGGGAAGGCTGGGATTGAGTTTGGGGGTGATTAATCATAAGAGGGTTCAAAAAATTTGCGGGGGGGGGGATCTTTTTTTTTCCTTTTTTTCCTTTTTTTTTTCTTTTAAAATTTTCTATTTTAAGTTGGTTATTTCTGATTTATATTTAAAAGCAAATAATAATGATATGGTAGGAGATACACACCAAACAGGATGTGTAAATTATTATATAATTAGTATTGTGCAATAGCAAGAAATTTTCAATTGCACAGTATTGCACAATAGCAAGAAATCTTCAATTGCACAGTATTGCGCAATAGCAAGAAATCTTCAATTGCACAGTATTGCACAATAGCAAGAAATATCCAATAGCACAATATTGCGCAATAGCAAGAATTTGTCAATTGAACAGTATTGCGCAATAACAAGAAATATTCAATTTCACAGTATTGTGCAAAAGAAGATACTTGTTATAAATTGCTTATTTCTTGACCAATTTCAATGGGGTTTTATTCTTGAATTCTTGGGGTTCTTTAATATGCTGAATCTAACCGTGTATTCAGTTTTTGGATTTTGGGCCCCGTTTTTAAATTGGTCCACATTGAGGTCCAAAGGGTCCAAAATTAAACTTTGTTTGATTTCATCAAAAATTGAATTATTGGGGTTCTTTGATATGCCGAATCTAACCGTGTATTTAGATTCTTAATTTTTTGTTTCGTTTTCAAATTGGTCTACATTAAGGTCCAAAGGGTCCAAAATTAAACTTAGTTTGATTTTAACAAAAATTGAATTCTTAGGGTTCTTTGATATGCTGAATCTAAACATGTATTTAGATTTTTGATTATGGGCCCAGTTTTCAAGTTGGTCCAAATCGGGGTCCAAAATTAAACTTTGTTTGATTTCAACAAAAATTGATTATATGGGGTTCTTTGATATGCTGAATCTAACCATGTATTTAGATTTTTGATTTTTGGGCCCCGTTATCAACTTTGTCCACATTGAGGTCAAAAGGGTCCAAAATTA